AGTGAGTGGGTAGGCAGCGCTTGTTCCAACCCTCTTCCCCCCCCCCCCCTCACCCTGAATATGGTGATTTTCAAGTTGGTAGGTGCAAGTTTCCATACCGCAAAGTCAGGTGGTGTCTTTTTAATTAGGCGTTTAAAAAATCTATTTCGCATAATTATTTTTTACATGAATAATTATTTTTTTGTTGGTATAATTAAATTTATTAATAATTTTGGCCATGCTTGTTTGTTTTATATAGCCGAAAGGATTATATTACTTGAAGGATTAAGTAGAAAATAATAACTGTAAAATGGATAATATTTTTTTTTCATATGATAAGATATCGGGAGACGATAAGAGTTTAAGTTTGTTACAAGAATCTAATCTCATTAATGGTAATTTGATAATTTTATGGTATTATAATTTTTAATATATATTATATAATTTTGAGTATTTTGTGGATTTGTTATTTTTCCAAAATTGATAGTTTTGTTTTATTTTTATTATTTTGAGTTATTAAAGTAATTATTAGTATATGATATTTTTAGAAGGAAAGTGGATATGTGCAGAATCATACGAGGAAATACTCGCTTTAATTCAAAACTATGAAACAGAAACTGTGTCAAAGTTTTCATGCTATTCTGCTAACAAAAACTTTGGTAATATAGGTAAGAAAAAGTTTGTCAGTTGCTAAGATATTGCTCACATTGTTTTTTTTTGGTGATATTTATAGGTTTCTTTATACATATCTAACTAAAAATTAAAACAAAATAGTTCTTCCTGTAGTATAAGGCAAAACGAGTAATAAATAACTTTATTAAAAAATCTAGTAAATATCCTGTTTATCCTGTTTTTAAATATGTTTTTTTTTATATGTTTAAAGAAGCTTCTGTCAAACACCACAAAATAAGACAAGAGGACGACTCTGTACCTTTTAATGGTGTTCCATTCGTGATTGTAGGAAGTAAAGTTCTTGACTGTATGCATGGAAGAGATAGAAAAGTATCTTTTAAAGAAGAATATAAAATGCGTTGCAATGATAGAAAGGTTTCTTGAATGTGCAATATTTATTTATATTTAAATAATTATATAAGGTATATCATATACTTATTTATAGTTATATATTATATAAGTATATCATAAATTTGAAAACTTTAATGATTCAATTATAGATAAAATACATGTCTATACACTATATTTAGTAGTGTATATTTGTTTATACAATATACACTAAATGTTTATAACAATAATAATAGGTATCTGATCACAGTTACTTAAAAAAACTATGAAATGATCCAGGACACAAAGAAATTTAATTGTAGTTTACAAATAAAGATCAAAGAAGTTTTAAAATTTCCAGATTTTAAGGTTTTATTTCTTTTAAATTATATTAGTTTTACTTAATTTAGAAAATAATAAATTAACATTAATATATATTTGAATAATAAATAATAGTAAAAGGGTTCCTAATTCCCTTGCCTATAATATTATATTGCTTAATGATTCAAAAGAATCTTTTTTTTTCTTTCTAAAAAATATTAAATAGCTTTTTGAAAAAATACTAGTTTACGTTAGTGAATTTTTTTAAAGTGCAATGTCTCTTTAGGTTATAGAAATGGAAAAGAGTAACCTCCTCCAAAAAAATTCGAGAAGCAATTTCAAAAAATGAAGCAGTGGGACAAAAAATATTTTTAATTTTTCTTCCATCAATGAGTTCTCACACTGAACACTTTACTGGAAATGTAAATAATTTTTATAACATCTGATTTTACCAATAACTAATTTTAATCACAAGTTGTATAAAATTATATTGATATATTTACAATTGATTTTTATTTCCTTTATTTCAGTGTTAAAGTCAAGTGTTGATGTTTTAATTTATTTATTACTTACTTTATATCTTAATCATTTTTCTGTTAAAATTTCTTTTTTTTTTAATTATAGGCACTCAACAAGTGACTATTCCCTTTATTTAATTTTTTTTTTTTATTGAAACTAACCACCCTTTAAACTATCTTCAGATTTTTACATTTTTTGTTTAAATTTTCTGATGATTCTTTTTTTTTTTTTTTTTTTTTTTCAACGCTGCTGGTATATCCCAGCCAATTGAAGCAAGATTAAAAGAAGAAATATTTACATCATCTGAATTTATAACTAGTGTTGATGAAATGCGTAGGAGATTAGAAATCATTGTGACAAGAGAAATTTTTAAAAATATTATATGTCCATCTAAATCAAATAAAAGGTTCTTCCCATCCAAAAAAACTATTCGTTCTTACATGTTGAAGCAATAAGAAAGAAAAGGTATTCAAATATTGACCAAGAATGTCTTATAAAAAAGTAGAACAATGGAAAGTTGAAAATCCTCACAGAAGATTTTATCTTCGACCTAAAGGGAAAAGTGAAAATTGTATGTATTTAGTATTTTACTGTAATCTCTCTTTACTTAACTTCAATTTTCACCAAGATATACAAATTAAATGTGTATATATATTTTTTCCCTTGTGTTCCTTGTGCATGTTTAAATAATTAAACACTATATTTATTTTAAACACTATATTTAAAAAAGAAGCTTTTATAGATTTTTTTTGTTGTGCAGATTAGGGTGAATACTTAAAAAAAATTCAAATGCGCTATATAAATAACTGTTCTTTTATTATGATAACATTTTATTTTCTACAAAAAAAATGTATTTAAAATAAGGCTCCCAGATACTAACTGTTTTTTTTTTTTTTTTTTTTTTTTTTTTCAAATACAATACTTTATTTTCATGAATAATGTGTGAATATAATATACACATTATTCATGAAAATAAAGGATTGTATTTCATGAATAGTAGTTACCTGTTTATAATTGTTTAATACATGTTTAAAATTGTATAAGACTACTGTCGAACCTTGTTTATGCTTTTCATTAAATTAAAGTCTCAATTATAAATTATTGCATTACATTTCAAAATTTGAAATAATTGTTAATTTCAAAAAATCAGACTTCTAAATCTAGCACTAATTTTTTAACGAAACCTGAAAAAAAAAAAGAATTTTTCATATTTTTTTTATATTTATTTTCATAGGGTTTATTATTTTTTAAGTATATATATATATATATATATATAAATATATATATATATATATATATATATATATATATATATATATATATATATATATATATATATATATATATATATATATATATATATATATATATATATATATATATATTAGGTTGACTTATAAAAAAACATTTTTTAAAAATGTCTACTGGTTCCCCTTAAATGTGTTCCATGTAATAAATTTATACTAAATATAAAATTTTATTATAGAAAAAAGTTTTTTGGGTTTGCTCAAGACCCTTATACATCAGATTTTATGGTCTTTAATATTCTGAAAAAGTTCTTCGAAAGCATATCATGGTATGTCTCTGAATAAGCGAAATTGTATAAAAATTTAAAAAATAATTTTAAAAATGCTTTTAATAAACTTTATTTTTCAGAATAATAGTGACTCGTCTAATGTTTAAAAGTCTTGAGCAACCCTTAAAAAAAAAATTAATTTAAAATCTTTTTTAATTTAGTATTAATTTATTACATAGAATACATTTTGGGGTACCAGCAGACAATTTCAATAAATGATGTTTTATGAGCCAACCTAAGATATATATATATATATATATATATATATATATATATATATATATATATATATATATATATATATATATATATATATATATATATATATATATATATATATATATAGTATATATATATATATATATATATATATATATATATATATATATATATATATATATAGTATATATATATATATATATATATATATATATATATATATATATATATATATATATATATATATATATAAAATATATATATATTTAACCCTCATAATTAGGGTTGGCATTCGGCAATGCCTACCTAACTGCTGACCTGAAAGTGTTTTAGGTTGGCAAAAAATAGCCGACCTCGTTTCAAATGGTCAGACCTTTGTATCAAATAATTTTTGCCGACCTGATAAAAATTATTTGATACAAAGACCTGACCTCTAAAAGATTGAGAAAAATTGAGTGATTAGGCTAACAGTTTTTTTCTATGATGCAAAAATGCTTAAAAAGTGTTCATAGTCATTCTGATTGACAATAACTTACAAGGTTGCAACAGGTTGCAAACTTATTGATTACATGTTGTAAGCTTGTGCAAAGTAGTTTATGAAATGATATGTTGAACATGTTAGTAAAAAAACTAGTTTGCAACATTTATATTGTCTTACTAACTTTGAATAACTTAATTGTCATAATAATTTTTATAGTAATTTTTTTGAGTCAAAAATATTGTGAACATGTTTTTAAATTAATGCAATTAATTAACATCATTTATAGTTGATGGAGTCCCCTTTTGCACTACAGGTAAAATGTGCTAGTAGACTTGTAGTAAAACATTTGGATTGCAATCAGAAGCTAGGGGTTCAAATTACCTCAATCTATTTCTCCGCACAACGCCTTTTATAAAAATCTTAGTTGTTAATGTCGTTTGTTAGTAAAAATGGTAATGATTGAGACATTTTTTAAAAAATGAGTTGCTCCCTTGACTGAAGTGGTCATTGGATTTTCACTGTAAACAGTGAAAGAACAATTACAGTAAAAGAATGCGACTTTGCAAAATGATGATTTTGCAATGATAAATACAATCATGCTTGCTGTTTATCAAAATGATAAGCAGCAAGCATGGTTGTATTTGTCGAAAAGAGTAATAGACTTTTTGTCTATGGGGCTATTAAGGCTAAAGATTAGGAGCTTGATTTGGTCCATCTACATTCGTAATGCGTTTTTTAAATTTGTCTGAATGATAAAGGGTATCATTAGAAGAATCAGTCTAATAATGACAACAGTTTTCCATACAATAAGAAATAGGTTGTGCATACATTTTTTAAATATAAGCGAAGAATTAGATTTATAGTTTCCATTAGTGGTGAAAGATTTCCATTAGTTGTAAAAGATAATCAGAAAGAAAATAAACGAGAAAACTCTGTAAGAGTGTGTCCATTTATCAAAATAGGCATATCAACATAGCAGCAAACATCTGAGTTAAAAAGCTTGGGTTAAAATTTTCTAATCAAAATGAGCCCTAAACTGTCATAGAAGAAAAATCACATTCGATATAGACTGTTTGTAAACCTTGTATTGGAATTTTTCTAGAAGGTTGACATCTAAAGTTTATTATCATATCCAAAATTTTCTTTTTCAACTTTTAATATATTTAAAAGTTTATGCTTTTTTTTTTAGAGTTTTTTTAAAGTCCATTTTTATTTCACTCCCTGTTCTTTTATGTTCAATTTTATTAAAAGAAATGAGAATGTGCAAGAATAAGCAGTTTGCTAATTGATTGTGTATTTTTCTGTCATATGCTTTCAATCGTTCTGCATTAAAAAAATCGTACATGTGAATAGGAAGGAACCTTGACGTGGTTCATGTGCTTTAAAACAAATACCTTCCAGACAGAAACTTTCTGATACCTTGTGTGTGAGTAGTATTTTTATATTGGTAGTTTATAATCTTCTGGTTGAAATTCTTGCTTTCAAGGTGTGTTTTTTTTTTGTTTATTTAGAATACGTTGTTTACATAAAATACGTTGAGGATTTTGAGAGATGAAGGTATAATTTTTATCAATTCTAAATACAAGCAGATGATTTAGAGTATTATTAAATAAAACGTATGTACGGAATTTGACTGAAGTTACTTTGAATATAGATAACTTGTACAATTTTTTTTTATTACTTAACTTTTTAATTTTCTACTTGGTTTACGATATGATCTCACACAGCCATTGGTTTTATATCTAAAACTAATAGTTTCAGCCATTGGTTTTATATCTAAAACTAATAGTAATCTAATCATAAATTTATTTTAGGGAATAAGCAGTATGAAAAATAAATGCTTAAGAAGATGTTTAACAACGACAATGAACTTCAAATATTTTTTTAAATGTTATTGTTAATTCCAGTTAATTTATATTAACATATTATTTATGTAACAGTGTGTAAGATATATATGAAATTGTGTATTTAATTTTAAAAATTTTTTATACTAGTTTCATTAATTCATGCTTTTTTTAAGTTTTTTTTAATTTTATTATTATGAAATTAACCTCTTTTAATTAAACTGCGACAGCTTAAATTAGGGATGGCAATTCCGGGATTTCGTAAAAAATGTTCATCCCGAAATCCCGGGATTAGTCTCCGAAATTTCCCGGAATTTCGGGATCGTCAAAAAAGAGGAAAGGTTAATAAAGTTTAAGCTTATAATTGTAGTTTAGTAATTTTTATATCGTCTTTGGTATAGTAGCTGTTTGGTTGTGTAATCATTCATTATCTTTGCAATGTTTTCCTTTTAAAACTCTCATTTTCTGCATTTTACTAAAAAAAAAAATCAAAGCATTGCTTGTCTGCAAAATGTATATATGTTTGTTTATATATATATATATATATATATATATATATATATATATATATATATATATTATATATATATATATATATATATATATATTTATATATATATATATATATATATATATATATATATATATATATATATATATATATATACATACATACATACATACGTACATATACATATAAAATTAAAATTAAAAATATGTAATAAAATTAAAGTATAACTTTTATTAAAAACTCTTGCTCTTTCCTCAAGCAAGCGCTTATATTTTTGTTATGTTTTATAATATGCTAGTTTTAATATTATGCTATATATAATATATAGTATTATATTAAAACTAGTATATTATAAAAATAGATAAAGTTTAGGCGCTTGCTGGTAAAAAGTGCAAGAATTTTTAATAGAAGGTATACATTAATTTAATTTTGAATTTTCTGTTTCCAAAAGTATGCGCGATTTTAATTCCAGTTTTATATCCATTCATTTTAATTTTCAAATGAGTGAATTATGAAAGTTTTTTTTAACGTCATACATATTTATATTATTTTTTTAATTTTTATTTTTATTGATACTGTGTTACCATTTTAAAGTATTGTTTTATATAATACTTATAAATTATCATTAAATTAATAATTTTTAAGTGTTTGATAAGTGCTTAAAAAGTATTCAATTGCATTTGCGTTTTTTCCTATTCAATCCCGGGATTTCCCATGGACAAATTTCTCAATCCCGAAATTCCGGGATTGAAAATTTCCGGGATTTTTGCCATCCCTAGCTGAAATACAGAAATATTGTCTTCATTTGTCTTCATTTGTCATATTGTCTTCATTTGTCTGTCAGACAGAAATATTGTCTTTATTTATTAATGTATTTTTTAGTAATATTAATGTAATAGGAACTTAAAAAGTTGAACTTTTAATTTATAATGAACATGTATTTACTTTTTAACAGTTGGTTTATATAAAATAGATAGAGATTTAGCAACGAGACGCGGACAATATTTGACAACGGCGTTTGTTACGAACACGTCGTTTGACTAAAGCCATTTAGCCTTTGTTTCGCAACACGTGCCTAAAAACCGTTATCAACAATGACGGCTATATTCTGCTTGAAATCTGTAGGAAGTTTAGTTTTTTTAGGCTACGCTGAAGATTTAATAGATATTTATAAATGAGTTGAACGATTCCCATGAACCATATCCATATTGGAAATATGATAGGTTTGATATAAATACTAGGCACAATGGTGTACAATGTAAAATTATTGTTTTTGGCATCTCAGAAAAAATTGTAAATGCACAGAGAACTACATGCAGTGGTATAGAAAAACCTTGCACTTTGCTAAAATGACTTGCTTTTCAATGTAAATAACGGGAGAGGAGAAATTAGTTACACAAAAATCAAAGCTTTGTATTTAAAAAAAAACTAAAGCAAAAATTTTTTAATTTTTTTTTAAAATTAATACAATATTTATTTTAAAAAAATTATCTTTTATAAACCGATCCCTTGTTGGCTATTATTCTCAATTTTGTCTTGATACCCTTCATAAGTGATTGTAAAAATGTTGTACCAATTTTCAATTCAAACACGCATTGATACATCTAATCAATTGTTGTGAACATATGGCCTCCCATCCACCCTCATATACATTCTGAGTCAATACTCAGAAGTCTCAATTGACCGGGCTTTGGGGACATTAGGAGGGTTCATATCAACCGGTACGAAATTGATATTTTCATCTATCCAGGATATGGCCTCATTAGACCTATTAACACTAGCTAAATCTGGCCAAAAAATGTAACTTAAGTACCTTGATGATACTCATCGATGAATGCTCTAAGGCTTTCCTCTAAGCATTCTTTAATATAAATGCTTTATTTTTTTGCAGCCGATGTTGTTGACCGAAAGAATGCTTTCGACATTCCACGCTCAGATAGTGCTATCCAAACAAGTAATTTTGTTTTCAAAAATTTTCTATTCCTGCAAAACGAACATTATCTGGACATTATTTTTAATATAATAATTGATTTTACGTATAAAAACTTTTGTCATTGATGATGTTACAGTTTAGGGAATTCTTAGGCTTCCAATTGATCAGAGTGTTGTTTATAATGCTCATAAGGTAAAAACATGTCTTCAAATACTATAATTTAGAATGCAAATTTAACCCCAGACCAACATACTTATAATAAAGCAATAGGCTGGGTGAATTTAAAAAAATAAAAATTCTTTTACTAAGTAATTGATCAGTTTTACGTAAAAACAAAATATCAGCAATTTTCCTTAAATTTTTATTTGCTTAAAGCTGAACATAATTTGGAAGCTGGTATAATGACGAAATAAAACTAGCTAACCCTCCCTGACATATAGGTCAATTAAGATTAAATACTAAAAAGGGATATTTTACAGCACTCATTTAAAAGTTTATTTCTTAAATCGACACACTAAATTAGGAAAGTACTTATTAAACATTCACTTGTGTCAACAGCAAGTAAAAAATTGCAACTTCCTTTCAGACAAAATAAATGAGACCGCGTATGCAAAACTTTTGTTCGTATTTTTACAATTTTTAGCGAGTCATGCAATGACTTTTTGTATTTCATGAAACCTATTGTTTGATTTATCAGGTGCATATATATTCATCTAAAAATCTATGTGTTAATTATTATTTCTGATTTACCTAAAAATAATAACTTTAAAAATGAAGACTTGACTATCTTTTTAAAGCGGGTCATAAAGACATTAAGTCTTTGACAAAATTAACTGGGATACCAAAGGCAACAGTTGCAAGATGTTTAAAGAAAATGAGGAGAGGAATGACCTTGGAGAGAAAGAACTTAATTTAATGGACCAACAACAATTGATTCAATTAGCTCAAAACGATTATACACGATCCGCCCGAGATATTCAAATTGAATTAATCATAAAAGGTAGTCCGAAGGTTGCTTCGAGTACCATTACTTGTTATCTTAGCCGAAGTGGGTACTTCAGCTTTTTTTCCCTAAAATCAACCCCTAATGACTCCTGTTCAATAAGAAAATAGGGTAAAATAATGTAAAAAACACTTAAGAAAAAGAATCAATGGGTTTTTAGTGATGAGAGTCGTTTTGAGTTATTTTGAACTCGTGAAGGTTAATGGCAAAGAAACAACCGAGAAATGGCAAACCAAAGTTCAAACAGAGTCTCATGGCTTAGGGGGCGATTCGTTCCAAAGGTAATTTTTATTTCAAAGGTACATTGCTTATTATCAAGGGTACTGTGAATAATGAAAAGTACAAAGAAATACTTTCTGAAGCTAAGCCAATTCTAAGCCGTCGTGTTCAAAAATAGAAGTTTAAGATAAGCTTTACTCTTTATTTTCTATTGAACAATTTTATTATAAATAATAAAGCGAATAAGAGATTTTTAAAGGTAAAGAATGGAATCAGAAATAAGAAAATGGCAAGCACGATAAAGAAAAGAACCTTAAAAGATGTTAACTTAGATGTTAACGGTTTCTATGAGAGGTCAGTAGTAAACGATGATTCAAGCAGATGTGAAGAAGAGGACTCAATGAGAGGGTACCCATTCGTCAATATAGAAAGACACTGCAAGCCCCAACCTAATACAGAAGTGAGATCAGATTCAAGATTGGCTGCCTGTTCTAACCAATCGAAGATCTCTGAGTTACCCAAAAGTTACTAGAAATAAAGAATGTTAAAGATGACTTTATTAAAGCGGTATGAAATGTTCCGAGGTTTTTATATGTGTTTGCGGTTTAAAGATAAAACCTTGTGGTAGGAAAAAGAAGAGTGCTGTCTATCTAGGATAACTTTAATGCTAAAAATGGAGAGGAAAGATTTTCATAACTTTTGTTAATACGCAATGCAAAGGTTTTATCAATACTTGGAGCCAGAACTTTTGTACCTATTTTTTTTAAAGATTTAGTAAAAGCAGTAAGTTATTAAAGTTACCAAAACTTACTAGAAAATCAGCAGTAATAAACTAAGCAATAAAAAATCTGCAGTATCAAAAATCAGCAGTAGAACCTTAAGACCGGAAACAATATTGACCGTTAGAAAGTAAGTTATTGAATTGCGTTATAAATGCATTAGATAATAACTTTTTTTTTCTAGTAACTCACAACTTAGACCTGTTTGTTTGCAGCTTATTAGGAGCGAATTAGAGAGTGAAAAAATATATAGCAGCTTAGCAAAAAGTAATGACATAAACAAAAATACCATCATAAATAAATAATACTATAAAATAATGAAAATAATTATACAATTTACAAACATTAGAAAAAAGAATAAATAAACAACCACAAATAAATAATTTATAAAAAATTTATGTATTTTTATCAAAATAAAAAATAAGAATTTTTGATCAAAACTTACTATCAAATAATGCTGCATTTCTTCGCTATAGAGACATAAAAACATTTTTGAATTCAACTTAACTCTTAGTTTATGATTCAATAGTTAAACATCGGATTTCGAGGTTCAACTATCTAAATCATTTCTAACATTTGAGAAAGTCATATTGTTGTGAAAGTTGGTGAGTTAAGAT